TTTATCCTCATGTTGCAGCCCCTATTTCTTGGATTCCATATCTATCTCCTTGATTTATTCCTTTGTTTTGTTGTAGCAAATTCTTCAATAGCTCTCCAAAAAAGGTACATTACTGGTGAGTTTTTGAGACCTTGTATGAATATAAAACAATTTTATTCTACTCTTCCATTAAAGAAAAATTGTTCTTTATTATTGAACAATTGTTCTGTGTTATTTTGTATTATTTGTTTATTTTTGAGTCAAGCTGTGTCGGGAACTTAAAAGGTTGCCTTGGAACCATGCTTTTTGGAACTACGTCCAGCAGTTCTCAAGATTAGTCACACAAAAATTGTTAATTTTTATGCTTACTTTTCCAGTGCAGAAAACCCAGAAGTGTTTTTTTTTTTGAACTTGAGGAGAAATAATCACACACAGGTTGGAATAATCACACAAATAACATTATGTAATATCTAGATCCTAATCACTTTTCGTAAGAAAGATGAAAAGAAGAAATAACAGTGAGTTAAAATATAGATACTTGAATCTGGTTTCACAATACTAGGTAATACAATAAAATAAATTATACTATATGATAAATGATATTACAAATGTATTTTACAAAATTTCTCAAATATTTTGAAAATGTAGTATTTGGTATTAGATATTATAATTATACATATTTATTATGTAATATACACAATTTATGTGTTACACACATACAACATATAAGCTATGTGTTTTATATATTTATATATAATGCTTATCAGCAGAGGGCTCAAAATTTGAAAATAATTTGTGTGTTTATTTTGCCCATTTTCTGAATCCAACAAATTCACAATCCTCTACAACTTTACACAAATGGAAACGGAAATACACATTAGCCACCAAAACTCTTTACCATTTTTGCAAAGCCCTTACCTTTCATCAAATTACCCCCTACATATACTCTAGATTTATTAGTGATTATTAATGGTTAAATTGGTGAAAAAAAGTTTGCAAAGCTCATTTAGACTTCTGTAAATGTTGATCACTCTAGAATGCTATATGAGACGTAATCAAGCAAGAAAAGAATTTATTAAAAGGAAATTAATACACAGTACAATGTTATCTTACTGTTTACTGAGCTCTTTTTATACTAACATACACTATTAAGTGTAATAATTACATTATCAGAGGCAAAACGCCTGCCACCCTCCCCAGTGAACAAACACACATGGGCTTGTGAACTTCCTGAAGCTATCACAAAAAAGAAAGTGGTTAAGTGTAGTTGGGGCATAAATTGTGGCCAGAATACAGAAACAGAAAGGGATGTTTGCAGTAAATAAGGCTTACAAGGTAGATTGATTTATATTCTCAAGGCCCTTGTAAGGCAAGTCAAGGCACTTGAACTTGACCCTATGGGCAATGGACAGCAACAGAGAGTTATATGCAGATGAGTGAAATGAATTGATTTGCTTTTTAGGAAAGTGGCCAAAGGCAATGTGGATTATGAATAAGAGGAGAGACACTGGAGTAATCCTAGAAAAAGATAATGGGATTAACTGTACGCAGTCATAAAATGATAAAAGCAAAAGGGGTAGAACGGTGAGACAGTTCAGAGATTAAAAATCCACATGTTTTGCAGAGCTAGTGGATGTATGAAACAAGGCCCAAAAGAGTGAGGAACAAAGGAAAAATTGGGGCCTTTGTCCTGAGGGTGTCAGAATAAAATTATAGTTCCTATTTATATGGCATGTCACAATTTACAAAACACTTTCACATATACTGCCTTCCATTGTTTCAACAACCTTGTGATAGATTAATATAAATTAATTAACAAGTAGAGTTTGTATAATAATCTTAAAAAGGCTCTGACCACTACTGAGTAATTTCTTGGTGAGATGCTGTTTGTAGGTCCTTTTCCCGGTCATCTTTTCTTCCTTACAAAGCAGATGTGGACTTGTGTTCCCCTCCTCAAACATGCTTGCATATACCTATATTGACTTTGATTCTCCCCATGTTACTAGATAAATAGATTTTTACTACAGCATATTCCATGGGCACGTGTGTTCTGTCTCTGAAAAAAAAAGGTAATTTAGATAATGCTTCTCAAATCTTAATAAGTATATGGATCATCTGAGGATCCTAATAAAATGCAGATTCTTTTTCAGCGGGTCTTCAATGGGGCCCGAAATTCTGCATTTCTAACAAGCTCTTTGGTGATATCCATGCTCCTAGTACATTTTGACTTGAAAGGATTTAGACTAAAGCCACGTGCACATCTGTACACACACACATACACCTTTCTTAAGCAGGTATGCCATTCTGGGACATTTATATCTGATTTCAATTTAAAAATAATAACTATTTTCTCACAGGTTTCAAGACAGACAATAGTTACTGCCAATTGTGTACGTTATTTCTTTTCACTAATATAGCTACATTCCATTTCTGTCTCTGTTGGCAAGCATTCGCCTAAAGGTTTTGAAACATGTCAATGGTCTTTTTCAAGAAGAGATCTCATAAAGAACCACCTCATTGTTACTGGTTCATTAATAGTTCTCTTACTGACAACTTGGATGTATGCCTCTTAATTTTGCAAGTATTTTAAAATTAAAATTACTTCCAAAGTATTTCGAATTCTTCTTCTGGCAATAACGTCTGCTTGGAAGCAAAATTCTTAACTCTCCTCCCACAGGTCTTTTCTTTTATGATTCCATAGCCTTGTGGGTTTCCTTAATAGTCTGAAATTCCACAATATAATCCATGTGTGTTGAAAGACCTTTGAAATCATTGACATGCCTCTGGGTCTCAAGATTAAGCAACTATCAGCTCTGCCCTCTTTTAATTGGATTCGGAGAGGTAATCTCCTATTTAGGTCCATCTCAGAAATTCCTCCTTTCTCTTTATCCTGCTCTATCCTTCCACTCACTCTTAGAGTAAACCCATTTATGGTTTCTCAAGGAATGCATTTGTATCCCCATGGAAGTCCTGCAAGTCAAACATCAAGAGATGGACAATATCTCTTTGTGTACATGACAAAGAGGTAACCTTGAAAGCAACAGTTGATTTTTATGAGATTCTAAGCAAGAACTCAGCCACCCTGGAGAAAGAAAGGCTCGTGTCCGCTGCTTAGGCATTAAAAGCCCTTTAGTCCTCTATATGCTGGACAGTCACATGAGACACGTTGAAATGTATAGGCTAATCAGCGCTGGCACTGATTTCTCAAAAGACCCTGGGATCTTCGAGTTGGACGGCTTATAAAGGGTGTGTTTTCTAACCCCCTGTTTGATTCAGGAATCCTTAACACAGCATCCTTGAGATTCATTCAAGGTACCATGAGTACTTTCTGAAGGGGTGAGACCTTAGCTGGACAGCTCCAGTTAAACATCTGCAGCTGTGAGCAGACACGTGCATTCCCTCAAGCAGCTCTGATGTTTCCTACCATTCCTGTTCACCGCCCATGCTCATGTTATATGTTCTTGCCTTTTCAATTCACGGTCTTAATTAATTCCTATTTACAGCTTTTAGTATGGCAACTTCAGCTCTCCTAAAATCACCTCACTTTAGTTAGGAGTTTAATACTCATCAAAATATGGCAAAACTTGAACTTTGACGTGTTATTGACATCTGAGACTGCATCTCTTTACTTTGAACTTCAGTGACGCTTTTGGTTCCAAACACCTTACTGCTCTCTTAAGGAATTTTATGAAGTCGGTCTCAACATAGAATATTCACCTTTTCCCTCCCATTTTTAGATGCACCAATGAAGAGTTAAACAATATGCATCAGGCCACACATACTGCTGGAGACCCAACTGGGAATATAGCCCAGGAAACTTGGCTCTGAGTCTGATGTGCTAACCACATGACCATCATTTCTGACGACTATAAATTCACGTAGTGCTTCTCCTGCTGAAACACCCAAGAGACAATCACATTGGCAAACTGGACAAGTCAGTGTATATTAAGTAAATTTCTCAACTGAATAACGTATATTTTCCAGAATTCCTGTTAGCACTGACTGTGAACGGTCCACATTTTGTTAATGTTATCATGACACATGGCATTTTTGAGGGTCCTTTTATTAGAGATTGCCCTCAGATTCACATTCTTGGCTCTTGTCTTGTCAGACATGGATTTCGGTCCAATGGCATCTTTCTAAGAAGGCACTTCTGACTGTTGGCAGCTGCTGCTGCTGTTAAATTCTTCATGGCCTCTGTGCTGTGCCCTCCAATATGTTTCCTGAGAAGCTGAGCCACTCTCTGCTTATAATTTCAACTATATGCTTCTAAACCTGAAACAGATGTTATCTTGGCTGCGGTCATTTGTCATGAGCTTCTCTATTTGCACTGTATGCAGGGCAGGTAAAAGGCAGGTAATTTTCTGCCTCACCCTGCAGAGAAAGAAAAAAGGAAGGGAGTGTGAAACAAGAGACAGAGAGAGAGAGAATGCATATACCAATTCGAGGAATAAAGCCACATGGAGACAGAGAGTACAACCACTTGAGCATCTATTATCCTAATATCATATGCTATAGTTTGGCTACTACTATTTGCCTGGCATCCCTCTGGACTCATACTTGTGGCCACCCAGACTAACTGTGTGAGCTGATCTCTTGATGTAATATCAGCTTGCTCTTTTGAGCTCCCATGCCATTTACTGTCTTAAAAAAAATGTACTGCTTGTTACTCAGCCGTCTGTGTTTTCAAGAACTCACAGTCTTTTTTTTTTTTTTCTTCTCTTTTTGTATGGGAACCAGGAACTAGAAAGCATTAAGTGAGAAAAATGAACCACTCATAGCATAGGTAGAAGCCCAGAGAAAAAAGGGTTTGTCTTTTATGGTTTGTACTTTGTAAGCTGTGGGTGTGACTCAACTTCCTCACCACCCACATAAAAAGGTTGCCACCCAATCACTGTTTTTTCTATCCCAAACCCCTCCCCTTTGATTTTGGCTAGGAGAGACCCTAGGAAAGACTGCCCTTTCTGGACGTTGCAGACTGTGACATATAAAAGCTGTTAGCTGCTCCTGTAGCCAGCAGCATTCAAACCTTGCAGAGTTTTGCTCTCTGAGAGCTTGTAATAAGACACACTCCTCTTACAAGGGTTCATGCTACAACCTAGCAAAGAACTTTAAATTTTTGGAAGAACAATATATTCATTTTGGCATTGTGCAGAGGTAAGCTATTTAGCTCAACAAGTTTGTTTTGCATGCATTGATTTTAAAGTAGCTCACATTTTTATTTTTTTAGAATTGAGATTGGATTATGATAATTTTTTGTATGTGTTCTGTCACTTGGTGTCCATATATGTCTGGGAGACATTATCAGCACCTTCTCTGTTGTTACCTGTGATGCATTTTATCTCTTCATTCTCAAGATGAATTTCAGTTCCTCATGATTTCCCTCTGAGAACAAACAGGCAGTAAGGCAGTGTGTGGTTCAGGCGTTTAGGGTAAATGCTTCACATTCATTTTAGGGTTAGTAGTCATGCTATTTGTTTTTCTCTAGCTATAGGCGTTCCTCTTAGGGACCTACCTCATAAGACAGGTGAAATGTATAGAGACTACTATAGGTTGTCTCCTAGTCTTGAGTTCAACACTTGTTTGGACTTTTTGGAGAAAATCAAATCAAGCTATGCTCCCAAATGATGACTCTGTAAATTCCTACCCTCTGGCCTTATTTTTTTTTTTTTCCTTTCATAGACCCTAACTCTACCTTTCTGCTTTAAAGCAAAGTAAACTCGGTGGCCTCTCCTTCTCCACTCCTCAAAATGTTAGCAAGCTCTGCCGTCTGCAGCATACTCCTGTTCTGCCTTCTCTGTGAAGCGAGTGCTGTCGTCTTACTCAATTCCACTGACTCATCCCCGCCAACCAATAATTTCACTGATATTGAAGCTGCTCTGAAAGCACAACTAGATTCTGCGGATATCCCCAAAGCCAGGCGGAAGCGCTACATTTCGCAGAATGACATGATCGCCATTCTTGATTATCATAATCAAGTACGGGGCAAAGTCTTCCCACCAGCCGCCAACATGGAATATATGGTAAGAGGAATTCGTTCTCTTTGAATTCTGAGGGAGGGTGCTTTCTGTAAATTGTGCGTTGGGTTGGCAGAACCTAAAGAGTCTTTATATGTTAAGGGATATGGAGATTTTTACAGATTTGAACTTAGGAAAGGTTCTTATGTCTCTGGTAAGCTTAAGTACTATTCCATCATAGAATTAAAGAGGAGTGGGATCTAATTTCCTTTTGTGAGTTCCATACCCACTGACGAATCACATTTTATACAAGAAACGTAGATAAAGAGTGGGGTATGTTGACTGCTCGAATTTGGAAGGTCCGCTTTTTAAAAAGCTTCACATGGAACTTCTTCTGGGCTTTGTTTATCTAGTAGTCCTGTTTATCAGCTAAAAATATTTTTTTGAAAATAATTTTTTAAAATTATAGGTTTCATGTGCCTGATTTATTCTCTGGGTAGGTGTCTTTCCCTTTCTTGGACAAAGCTCTTCCTGAGCTAATCTATTTGTATTCTCAGAGAACATGCTGACTTTTCCTCTTTGTGATTTAATGCTTTGTCGTTCAGATAACAGCGCAGCCAGGGCACTTGCACACTGTTCCAACTTGCCATGAACACATTCTTTGCTCTCTCTTAAAAATAGGCTGTCTGTGTTTAAAGCATTTTACTTAGTAAAAAAAAAAAAAAAAAACCGACTAAGTTGGTATTGGGAGGATAGATGGCTTTTTAAAGTTACTTTTATTTTTGGTTTTGAATTTATGCAAGGTTATGGTTTAAAAGAGCACAGCTTGGAGCCTCTTTAAGGCAATGAAGACCACCAATATGGTATTTCTGTGTGGGGGTGGGGGAGGTGGTACCACGACCAACTTTTTATAAGTGCTGACCTAAAATCTAGAATTTCTATTAGATTCTAAATTCATCTATTTTATTTAAATAAGCTTTTTAAGTTTGACTAATTGCAGATGTCAGAGTTACAGGAAAAATAAAGACTTGCCAAACGTAAGAGAGTCATAGTTCATAGAAGTACAATTTCGACTCTATGAAAAAGCATTTTTCTAGGAATTTTTAAAGCAAGAGGAAAAGAAGGCATAATCAATCCTGTTGTATGAGGGGCAATGTAGTCTTGTGATTAAAAATATGGGCTCTAGAATCTAAATGCTTGAGTTCAATCTCCAGTCCTGGAGTTTAAACTGAGTGATTTCATTAGCTCATTGCGTTTCATTCTCATCATCTCTCACATGAGGATAAAGGAAGTCTCTGCCCCATGGGGTTGTTATGAGGAATGTATGAGTCGAGGGATAGAGCAATTAGACCAGATCCTACAGCAAAATAAACATGAATGTTCAATAAACATTAGCTTTTACGGGTTTCTGTGAACTTCTGTGAAACGTGCCCGGTGAAAACTCATTCAAGATCTAAAATCAGAAAGAGCTACCCACATCACCTTTCTAGAAAGTGATATGCCGATATAGAAAGAAAAGGAACAAATAAGTTTTTTAAGTTTTCATATATTATGAGAGAAATATGCATGAGATTCTCTGTGAGATCAGAAAGGCGTAATAGCCAGATTGCAGGTTTAGGGAAGACTTCCTGACAACCATCACATCACTATGCTGACTAAGGTGAGGATCAAGACCGCTGAATCAGCTTTGGAGGCGAGCTCTTCTGGGTTCAAATCTTAACTCTGCTGCTTACTTTGTGGCCTTGTGCAAGTTACTTAATGTGTATAAAACTCAATTTCCTTATCTTTAAAGTAGGAATAATAATATACGTAATAACCAATCACTACATAATGCAATTCACTATTTTAATGATATTGAGGGCAGAGGTATCATTATGAGCAAAGGTGTAGATGGGGTACAACACAGTAGAAATAGATTGAAAAAGCCACATTTTTCTCATTATATTTTTCCACACTGATCAAGAATTAATTCATTCCACATGCATTTATTTAATTTCTTCTATGTGCCAAGGACTTGGCTAATTGTTTCCATAGATGATCTCATTTGATAGCTCACATTCTCCCTCTGAGGTTAAGATTATGATCTTCATTTTACAAATGAAATCACTTGGACCTAGAGAAGTTAATGACCAGGCCAAGGTGTTATGGGTAATGAACAGTACCACTGGAATTAGAATTTAGGTCTGTGCAATTTCAAAGCCCACGCTTGTGCTGGCGAACAGCTTTTGATTTGCTAGAACGAGCAAATGCTCCATTGGGGGAAACCCCTGGAGATGCCAAGATATCTTTGTTTTCTCTTTTTAAATGCCAGCTGAAATCCTATAGTATTCATATTCTATTCTATTATTATTTGCTTATCAAATATAAGAGCTATTACATATGATTTATTTTGTAAGAATCAGATACAGCACTGGTTACATAGCAGATGCTTTATAAGGCCTCCTGAAGGCAATAAAGTTAATGAGAAACAGTAATTAGAAGAGTAAGTTCTATAAAGTAAAATATGACCATCTCAAATTATCACGTAAACAGTGAATATAGTTCATGCAGCATGTATTTAATCATATAATATTTATTGAGCATTTACTATATGTTAGGTACTATTTTAAGCACTGAAGATAGATTCACAAATAAAATAGACAATTCTTGGTCCCCTGAGTGAGGAATTAGACAATAAACAAGACAAATAAATTACGTAGTATGTTAGAAGGTGCTAAGTTTATGAAGGAAGATAGAACAGTTTGTGGTGAGGTTGTGAAATTGAATAGGGTGGTGAGGAAGGAGCCCACTAAGAGAGTCCTGGAGTCGGGCAAAGGCAGGAACCGTATGAGAGATGAAGGAACACCCATCACGGTGGTGGAAGAGCAAGGGCAGAGGCCCTAAGGTGGGAGAAAATCGATTAGTACAGTTAAAAAATGCGCTCAATTTAGTGAAATCACAAGTTAGAAGGACTCTTTGAGTAAATTGGCCAACTGAAATAATTCATCTGGATCCCTCATGAAGACTCAGAGAAACATTGAGGAAGGTACAATCTAAGAGATAGGTTGGAGGTTGAAGCAGGAACTATACATGACGTTAATCTGCAGGCCAGGTGAAAAATACAGGCCTCAATTTAACACTGTTACCTTTATCTTCACTTGTTCAACATTGATTTGGATGGTGAGCAATTTGAAAGCAAGCTCAGTTCCTAAGCTCTAGTATGTACTTCAAAAACTTAGGACACTTAATTCAATATGGCCACCAGCCATGTGTTCAAATTATCCTCTTCAATGAGTGACATCATCATGGGAGGCTCTTAGAAGGTGGTCTTCAGCTCAGGTCTTTCTCTCATTACAACGGCCTGATTTGCAATCCCTTTCATCCACAGCTTTGCCCTCTGAACCTTTACCCAGGCCATTTCTTCTCCCTCTAATGTCTCCTCCTGAACCTATTCCCTTAATTATAATCCTAACCTTCTAGTTTTATGTCAGAATGCTGTGTCTTCATTGATATTTCTTACACTCACAACTACATTTGACTTCTCTTTCTTTTGAACCGCTGTAACCCTTTATATCTATCATACTTTTCTCATCAAAATTGAACTTGATTTTTGGTCATTTGTGTATTTCTTGCAAGCTTCCTATTTTTAAGCTTTCAGGTTTCTAAATTTATGCTTATTCACCTTTGAATCTCTATTTTCTTGGGCAATTTCTTGCATATAGACAGTGATCAACCATTTTTTAATGAATTTAGCTGAAATCACTGTGAATTCTTACATTTATAAGTAGCATCAATTTTGATATTATAATGTATATTTTAATAGAAGTTTTCTCATCATTTGTAATAATAGTTTTATCCTATGCACCTAAAATTTAAAAGGGACGTTTTTCATAAATTCTGAAAAAATTCCTTAAAATTAAATGATTTTATCTTCTTTAAGTATTTGGTTATGTTAGTATATGCTTGACTAAATAAAGTGGAAACAATTTGAACGCCAGAGTACTGACATTCATATTATAGTTGTATAATATTTTCTTTGGATATATTGTTCATGGTTTTAGTAAAAAACACATTATTTGAAATATTTAACTTTCCAAAACAGTATCTTTTCAAAAAAAAATAGTAATATAGATAGAGCTTAAGATATGCAAGTCAAACTTCTTTACTCTTGGTTTCTGTCCTACAATTAGTTTATTGACAAATTTCCAGAGCTCCTTGGCCACCAGCTGTTTTTCATTCTTCCTAAGGGCAGCGTAAGCCATGACTCTAAACCACAAACCACACTAGTTTCTGAGAATCAGAATTATCCCCAAAAGAATGAAATTGCAAGGCTCACACATGGAGTAAAATTTTTAGGGTATATCCTGAATTCAAGTCAATTGAATAAATTAATTTAAAAAAAATAGAAGTCCCTCCACCAGAAGAAGAGATCCAAAGATAACAGAAATCTTTGTCTTTAAAGTATAAGCAAACCAGTGAAAAACAAAACAAACAGGAAAAAGACCCCACTGAGCGTATAATTCACATAATACCTGCCACGTAAGATTGGCTTAATGAAAGAAGTATAGATAAATACCACGGAAAAGTCAAAGAAAGATGTGATAATCTCTAGTTGGCAAAATCTAGAAAGGCTCCTTGGAGGAGGGGCATTTGAGATAGATGCTCAGGACGGGGCAGGGTTGGCTATTAGCGTAGGGGAAGCAAGGCACGAACAAAACCAACAGGAGAAAAATAGCACAACACATGAAACATATTTTTGAGGAGTTTGAGAAAGGATCGAGGATCACTTAATACAAGAGCAAATGGGGAGACTGTGGTGGTTTTAGAGCAGGGTTAGAAAGATGGCCCCGACAATTGATGGAGTTTAGATTGATAGTGAAGGGGACCAGGGAGGTGACAGCCACTGACTCAGTGGTGCCATTCCTTTAGGCAAAGGTAAGGAGGAGCCCAACACCTACACCTAAACCCAATGACAGGTAGGAACAACCAACTCAAGTGTCGTGCAAGAGACAGAAGTCTTCACGGACGGTAGAGAATGGTGGAAAGGCAGGCGAGGAGCTTCGCGCGTGCAGATATTGACGGATATG